ATTGACTGGCTGTGCTCATGGCAGACTTATTAGTGCAAACAGAAAAGCTTTGAGACACCATTGGCACTGTCTCTTCACACCATGCTCAGCAGAACTCAAGTATAATCTACCGTGTCCATGTGAGGAATAAGCCTCTCTCTGACTCAGTGGCCTATAAGCATAAATTGGCAGCAGACAGACTAAATCTGACTCACCAATATTTTCTTTAGTTAGCTCAGTGCTTTGAAAAGTGTTGAATTGATTGTCAACATTGAGAAATGGAAAGAAATTCTGCATTTGACGTTCTTAAAGTCTGGCTTCTCTGGAAAAAAGAAAGGCAAGACCTGTAGCTCTGCATTCTCACCTGACCATAATGCGTTAGTGCTGAACATCCTCTCCTCTCCAGGTGTGAGTGCGCTCAGCTCAGCTCGCCCCAGTCTCCACTACTCCCTAGTGTGTCCCTTCAACACAGAGCAGGTTTTGGTTGCAGCTACCATGTGCTCATCTCATCAGTTTTCCTAGAATAAAGATAATTAAATCTTCAAAAATCTTTTCCCTGTGAAAAATGTGGAAAAGACCTGAGAATGTAGTATTCAAATAAAAATAGGATTAAGTGCATTCTCTGAAGATCAATAAACACATCCAGAGTGTCTGTGTTGAAAACAGCAGCTCTGGTCTCGCTGCCTGTGTAGGCAGCGGAGTTTGAGAACAGCCTCAAGTGTTCTGTACTATAGCATGTCCACCCACTCAGCTGAAAAGGTCAGTAATAAAAGGTATTCACCCATTCTTGATGGAGCAGACATGGAGATGAAGGTAAATCCAGCTGTGAGTTGCTAAGAGTGAAATCAGCGACTGCAAGTTGATGGGCTATTTCTTGTCAGAGGGCCAACTGGTCCAAGGTGGTATCCAGGAGTGAAAAGGGCACTCAGTGATTATACCAGAACAACAGGTGTTAGCTGGGACATGTGAACACCTGCCTCCTTGGAGCAATTAGGAACCTGTGGGGACCAATGCTGTCACAGTTAGGAAAAGCTTTGGAGCGGATGTGAGCATGAAGTGGGCAGGAAAGCCCTGGCGGAGGGAGGGGTGAGGGCTCAGGCTCTGCCCATGGCCTGCACAGCAGTAAGTCACAAACTGGTTTCCTGGCACAGATCGGTGACTGTCAATCTGGCTGCCTCTTGGGCCAGGTGTTTTAGGGTCTGAGCCCCATGGAGGCTCATGTAGTTTGACCATGTAGTCAAACCCCAAGGGCCAACAAGGGGCAACCTAGAGTCAGTAGTGGCTGTGCTAGACGCTTCAGAGTCAGGCACTCCTGGTCCTGTTACTGAGTGACTGGGAAACCTTGAGCAAGTCGCTGAACCCCTCTGCTTTTGTGATCTGTAAATGAGGCTACAGTCTAGCCACTAAGAGGGACTTATAGATCTGTTTGAGTGTGAAGTGTAACAATGCAAAAAAAAGGACCTTGCTCAGAGGTGGCACAGAATGTGTGTTTAGCACTTGAGCTAGTATTACTGTCCCACCATTTTTCATGTCAAAGAGGCCCACGTCATCCCACTCGCTGTCTCCTTCTTCACCAACTTTCCTTTCATCATACAATGTGTAGCTTGAGAGCAGAAAATGGAGCAGAGGTACTTGGGGGTTCACGACAGACAGTGAACTAGTGCATTTTGTGTGGCATGGGTTCCGATGGGCCTTGACACCGAATAGCTCAGCTATTATCACCCAGATGCTTCTGAACTTGGGTTTAAACCCATAAAACATTCAGGAATTAAAAGAATAGACTTCCACCTCTGTTGATAAGAACATAGAGCTGCAAATGATGAGACTTTTAAATAAAATACCTGATGGGTTTTTAAAGCTTTATTACCAGTGAACTCTTGGCCATTAAACCTCAGAAGGCACTCAAAATGTTACAGGGCAGGGAGAGGGGCACCCTTAAAACCACCAAGCCTGCCTGCTCTAAATAGTTTCTGCCATCCTCCACATCAAGACAAAACATATAAGACCTTTAATGGAAAGGAAGTTTAATACAACTAGTGTGCAATACAGAAAAGACAAAGAATATAGTTTCTAAAGCAAACACCCAGAGTTACCTGTCCCCTCATGGGTAAAGTCCACCCAAAAGGGATTGGCCCAAAGCAAGCCTAAAGAACCTTCTGGCCGGGACCCATAGAAAAGGGTCAGAAATGGCCAGACAAGTCTGGGAGGAAAAGAGCACAATCATAACCAGGATAAACGCTGCTATAGTCACCTCCCCATGGGTCTCTCACCCACATCTCTTTCAACCAGTCCAGGGCCAAGAAACAAGAGCCGCTTCTTCACCTGTCTCTCTGCTCCCTATGCCTCCCTCAGGTCTCCTTCTGGCTCTCTATCCTGCTTCCTTCCTCCTCAGTCTCCTCTCCAGATTCCTCTCTTCCCTGCTCAGCTCCACCCTCCTTCTGGGTGGGGCAGGAAACCTGGAACCTCCCCTTTCCCTTAGGGAACACCCTGTTACACTATTGGGGTTCCCTGTCAGTGGAACTGGTAGGACGCATTAACCAACTTATCTCTCTCTCTCTTTACTTGTGTTACTCATTTCCCTTTCTCTTGTAAATAAACCCATTATTAACCTTTTTGTGTGTGTGTCTGGAGTTGAAGCTTAAGTGCATGGGTGAGGACTCACAGTCAGGCAACCCAGTTCACTTTGGGCTGCCCTGTGATGAGCAGTCCGGGAAGTCCACAGCCAGCGTTCCCATGGGATCCCCATCTGGATTCTGACCACTGGGATCCCCAGGGGCACACAGAACTGTGGGATCAGCAGCAATTCTCTCTGAGTGGGCATCTCAGAAGAGGTTTTCTGTACAAAATCTCCCATCTTGGGTCAGAGCAAAATCATGCTGGACTCAGCAAAGCAGCACCGAGTATTTCCCTCCTACTTTACTTTTATTTATCTTTGTAACTGCCATGTGGGAGCTCAGGAATGGGAGTCCCTGTGTAGAATGGGAAATATCCAACGATGTCTGAGGAAAACAGCTCCCTCAGGCGCCTTCGTGATGGTGTTTGGAAAGTTACTCAGGAACCTTGGTGATGCAGGCAGCAGGGGAAATAGCCTGCCAGGGCCATCTGACTGTGATGGGTGAAATTGCTCTCCTTTAGTCAGTCAATAGGGCATCTGGCCTATACATTTATCCAGGGTATTCTACTAGGGACTGTTTCCCAGGCAGGGGGTTACCTGTGTAATCAAGAAAAGTTTGCTAACAAGGATGAATAAAAGCTGGATAGCAGTATCCCCTCTGGTGACTTCTCCCCTGAGGCAACTTCTCCCAGGGTCAGAAACTCTCAGAACTTTCTGGAGGGAGCAGCTTATTGTTTCACAGGTGTTATGAATGCTCAGGCTGGTGTCAGATAAACTTAAGTTCCAAAATCCAACTCATTAACTGATTACTTGAGCTTCCTTTTCCTTATCAGAACAATGGGGTTGTAATAATAGTACTTGTCTAATAGCTATGTGTGAGGATTAAAGAAGCTAACAGATACCAATGTCTTAGCATAGTGCCTGACTCATGAATAGTCAGAAAATTAAATTTTCATTATTCACTGCAGAGATGCTCATGGTCTCACCCAGCTACATGAGTTATGGCATCTTGGGTGGCTGTGGGCAGAAAAACACTAGGCATAGGTCACAGGTTTTGTAAAGTGAGGTGTATGCTCAAAAAAAAACAAAAACTAAAGTCTTTTTTAAATTGATCTTTTACTGAGATATATTTGACATATATTAGTTTTAGATATACAACATGACCTAGTATATGTATGTATTGTGAAACAATCAAACGTTAAGTCCGGTTAACAACCGTCACCTCGTGTAACTACTTTTTCCTTATAATAAGAACTTTTGCCATCTGCTCTATTAGCAGCTCTCAAATAGGTCATACAGTGCTGTTAACTGTCACCATGGTGTCCTTTACACCCCAGGCTTTATGACTGCAACTCTGCACCTTCTGACCACCTTCAACCATTCCACCAGCCAACCACCCCTAGCCGCTCCCTCTGACAATCACCCATCTGTCCTCTTTATCTCTGAGGCTTCTTGTTTTAGAGTCCACACACCAGTTTACAGCCCTTTTGAAACCCTAAAATTAATATCCTGCCCATCCTAGTTTCTGAAAGAGCAGGGACGAACTGCATCACGTTAATGGCCGGCCTACTCAGCGATCTGTCATGTAAGTAAGTGCTCAGTCTCCCCATCCAGACAGCAGAAATGAGCACCTGGCAAATCGGACACAGGCTGCCTTTTCCTTTGTGTCTGTTGCTAAGATCTCAGACACAAAGCGGCGGGAGTGGGAGGCGTAAAGGCAAGAGTGTAGTATTTGGGCCAGACTAGCAAGAGTCCAAACCTCAGCTCTGCCACTTACTTGCGTGGTGACCTGGTATTACTTAACCTCTTTGGGATTTTTTTTCTGACTTATTCATTTATTTATTCAAATGCTACTTTTAAAAGCACATAGTGTGGGCCAGGCTATTCTCTGGGTATTTGGAATGTCTCAGGGAACAAAACAGACACCGAAGTGTGCCCTTGTGGTGTTTACATTCCAGCAGAGGAAGACAGTCTTTAGAAATAAACATACTGCAGAAGCAAACAGCATAGTATTTATGCAATGGAGATTACCAGATCGAATTCCTATGGTCATGGTGGTGAAAAGTGACCACCCATATTAACGCATGGACTACAATAAGCATTTAATAAATTGTTACAATTATTATTTTACAAATCGGTCCCAGATTTCCTCAAATCCTTCAAATTCTTAGTGGGTTGCTGGCACCTAGCAACTGTTCATTTATTCATTCAGCCAACTCTGAGCTAGAGCCTATACCAGGCCTCAGGGATACATACAAGCAAGTCATAGGAGAAAATGTCTCTGGAGAATCCCCAGTCCAGTCTACTGCCCACTAGGTGAGAGGACAAAAGTCGATGTGACGTGGATAGCTTGTGTTTCCCTAAACAGAACAGTCCACTTCACCGATGATGTCTTTTTTAACTCGAGGTGTCCAGCTATGGCTGGTGATTGCAGGAATGCTATGAGGAAGGATATGGAGATTGGAGTCACCTCCAGGGACCCTAAGAAGATTCCCAAGCAGGCTCGCGATTACATCCCCATAGCCACAGACCGCACGCGCCTGCTGGCGGAAGGCAAGAAGCCCCGCCAGCGCTACATGGAGAAGAGTGGCAAGTGCAACGTCCATCACGGCAACGTCCAGGAGACCTACCGGTACCTGAGCGACCTCTTCACCACCCTGGTGGACCTCAAGTGGCGCTTCAACCTGCTCGTCTTCACCATGGTCTACACCATCACTTGGCTGTTCTTTGGTTTCATTTGGTGGCTCATTGCTTACATCCGGGGCGACCTGGACCATGTCGGTGACCAAAAGTGGATTCCTTGTGTGGAGAACCTCAGTGGCTTCGTGTCTGCCTTCCTGTTCTCCATCGAGACAGAAACCACCATTGGTTATGGCTTTCGAGTGATCACAGAGAAGTGTCCAGAGGGGATCATACTCCTCTTGGTCCAGGCCATCCTGGGCTCCATCGTCAATGCCTTCATGGTGGGCTGTATGTTTGTCAAGATCAGTCAGCCAAAGAAGAGAGCGGAGACTCTCATGTTCTCCAACCATGCCGTCATCTCCATGCGGGATGAGAAGCTTTGCCTCATGTTCCGGGTGGGGGACCTTCGCAACTCCCACATCGTGGAGGCCTCCATCCGGGCCAAGCTCATCAAGTCCCGGCAGACCAAAGAAGGGGAGTTCATCCCCTTGAACCAGACAGACATTAACGTGGGCTTTGACACTGGGGACGACCGTCTCTTTCTGGTGTCCCCACTCATCATCTCGCACGAGATCAATGAGAAGAGCCCCTTCTGGGAGATGTCTCGAGCTCAGCTGGACCAGGAGGAGTTTGAAGTTGTGGTCATTCTAGAAGGGATGGTGGAGGCAACAGGTAAGTCATCCCATCTTCCTAGGTCCTTCCTGTGCCAAGAATTTAGGTATCTATGACTGTGGAAGATGGAAGTTGGCACCTGAGAATCCTGGGATGGGAGCTCCACCAACTGAACCCCTGAATTGCGGTCTAAGGGTTACTGTTATTGAAGATGGAGTATTGGCAACAGCTGACATTTATGGAATCCTCCCAATTTCCAGGCAGTGATCTAAGCTTTAAATGTGTAATTATTTCATTTCATGCCCTCCTACATCCCCAGGAGGTAGCTTCCTTACGTTACAGATAAGGAAACAGAGGAATGACAGGCAAATTAGGTGCCCAAAAGCAAGCACTAAGAAGCCGTAAAGTCAAGGTACCCATCAAGGTAGGGGGACCCCAAAGTTGACGTGCATTTCCTACAGGCCAATGGGTCCTCCCACTCTCATCCTGAAGCAGTTCTGTGACCAAATAACTTTGAGAGACACCAGGTTAACTTGGTGGTCATGCTGGTTTCTTTCCCACAAACCTTCACAGTCTTTGCATAGTGTGAATCACTGTGTGAAGGGACGAGAATGAGCAGTGTTTCCCAAAATCAAGGATTCCAAAAGTCACAAAGTACTTTTTTGGGAAAAACACTCATGCTCCAGGCCCAGAGGAGGGGCTCTCTGACTCCCACTCCCCAGCAGCCTGCCCTGGCTACCCTGCAGAAAGCTGGCGTGGTGAGCATGGGCTTGTAGGCAGCAGGGCACCCACAAATGCCCTCCTCATGGTCAGCCCAGCACCTGACCTCAGCCCCCCACATCACAAGCAGCTGACAGCAGAGAACACCCACCATTCCTCTTTCGAAGCCCAGTTTCAAGAGGGACTCTGGGGGAAGCCAAGGCTGGACCTCCTGGAGAGAAGAGCCCCCCACAAACCCTGCAGGCTGCTGTGTCTCAGCTGCTTTCTTTCTCTCGTCTTTCCCTCTCTCTTCTCTTTCCCTCAAAAAGTACACTAAGCAGCAGGCCCAGCCCACTCAGGCTGGGAAAGAGAGGTGTCTGTTTTTCCACTTAACAACCAGGCAGGGTGGGCTTCAACCCCATTTACAGATGAGGAAGCTGGCTTCCGGCAGACTGGAGGTATCAGACTCAAGTCTTTCCCTTACAAATCCAGAGTTTGGTTTACCACACCTCATGGACGCCTTAAAGTAGTAAGGGGTCTGTCACAAAGAGAGCCAAGTAGCCTTCCTCACTCTGGGGACAGACTGCTGGGCAGGAGACTCCAGAGCATCTCAATCCCCCTCTGTGGCCAGTTGAACTGGCTCCTGCCCGGCCATCTGCTGGGGCTGGAGCCGAGCCAGGCAGCGCAGGGTGGCAGCTGCGGGAAGGTCTGGGGTTGAGGGCACAGGGACATCCAATAGCAAAGCTTGGAGGCTGCAGGTCACCTTGCCCTTGGTGCCAGGCTGAGATCAGAACACAGGCTGAGTTTCTGGGGAAAGACCCCAACTCTGAGACCACAGAGGGGAAAAGCCCCCTCCAGCACCTCACTGCCCCCTACTGTGAGGAAGCTCTGCTCACCCTACCCAGTGGTCCTGCCCCCTCATCTTCTTCAAAGCCAGAGGCCTGCGGTTGACATGCCCTCCCCCCTCCCCCGCGCCCCCCACCCATTCCACCTCTGTCGACCTACTGCCCTCCCCTGGCCTGAATTCCTGCTGCTGTCCTGGAACACAGGGGATCCCTGGAATCGGGACAGGGACACCCACCCTCTGATTGCAACCACTTAACAGTTGGGTTGTGTCACACACAAGGGCAAGCATGTCTGTGAGTTGATAGCCAGCTTGGCCATAGCCCACCTGTGTGAGTTCGGCACATCGTTTAGCTCGTCAACAAAATGGGGATAATTTATCTCACAGGTCTTGAAGTTGGTAAGACTGACTAATCAAATGGGGAGACATGTAAACTATGGGCTTCTTTCCTTTCCAAATTCTCAGGGAGATGACTGCCCAGGACATAGGTGGGAGCTCACCCACCTGGGTTAGACCCCACCTGTCACCCCCCAAGAGGTGGACAGAAGGATTGGCAGAGCCCCAGGAGCTTGGGCCCAGGGGCTCCCACAAGGCTCCACCCCACTGAGACCCTGGACCCAGTCATCTGGCCTCATCTAGGCTGGTCAGTGGCCAGGCTGGGCCTCCTACCTCCACCAAGGCTACATGACTGAAGGGAGAGACTTGGTCCAGGTGGCACAAAGGTTGTGGGGTACCCTGGGATTGCCCAGAACTGGAGCACAAATGGTGGTGGCAAGCAATCTCTGACCTGGGTCTGGTTTGTATGAGACCCTGACCGCGAAAACCCAAACTAAGGAACCAGAGCAGGTAACCAGAGTTACCAAAAGGTGTGAGTCAGTGGCCTCTTTAACCAAAGCAAACGGGCTTCCTCGCCCGTAAAGGAAGCTGCCCTACCTTTGAGGGGAAAAAGCAACACCTAAAAACAATGCAGGCTTGTGAGGGCCCAGCAGACAGGGGTGGGGGCGTTGGGGTATGTGCAAATCAAGGAGCTCTGTGCATGTGTGTGTGTGAGTGTGCATGTGTGTGTGGTGAGGGGAGAGGATTGTTCACCATATGTGTCCACTCAAAACAATCACCATCCCCTTGTATTCTAAATGCTTGCTTGTCAGTTTCCTATGCTCACTCACTCTGAATTTGTCTTTGTTCAAACCTTTTTCCTGTCTCTTGTCTCATTCTTCTAGACCTTAATGCTGTTTTCATGAGCCACATTCCTGGCTCCAGCTATTCTAGAATTATCCATTCCAGTTCTAGAAACCTATTCTAGAATCTTGCATGTTGATTTCTAATTTCCTGCCTCTACTGCATCTGAGCTCTCCCCTGAGTTCCACTTCTGTGTCTGTTCCTCTTTATAGCTGCCCATGCTTAGCATGAAGTGGATGGTCAGTAAGTGCTGGGGGGATGGACGGATGGATGGACAGATAGATCAACAGATGTGTGGATGAGTAATTGGGTGGATGGATGGAAAGTTGGGTGGATGACTAGATGTATGAATGGATGGACAGATGGATGGATGGACGGATGGATGGAAGGAAGGACGGATAGATTGATGAATAATTAGGTGGATGGATGGAAGGTTGGGTGGGTGACTGGATGGACGGATGGATGGATGGATGGATGGATGGATGAGTAATTGGGTGGATGGATGGAAGGCTGGGTGGGTGACTGGATGGATGAATGGATGGACAGACTGATGGACAGACAGATGGATGGACAGATGGATGGATGAATAATTAGGTGGCTGGCTGGCTGGATGGATGGATAGTTGGATGGACAGACAGAGGAGCGGATATATAGATGTTTGTGACAGCTCCTAACACATGGGCCCTCTGTCCCCCAGGCATGACTTGCCAAGCACGGAGCTCCTACATGGATACAGAGGTTCTCTGGGGTCACCGGTTCACACCAGTCCTCACTTTGGAAAAAGGCTTCTATGAGGTGGACTACAACACCTTCCATGACACCTATGAGACCAACACGCCCAGCTGCTGTGCCAAGGAGCTGGCAGAAATGAAGCGGGAAGGCCGGTTCCTCCATTACCTCCCCAACCCCTCCCTGCCAGGAGGCTGTGCTGACACAGAGCTGAATATAGAGGCTGAGCAAGATGGGGAGGGTGAGCCAGAGGAACAGAGTGGGTCCCGGGAAACCAGGGGCTTGGTGTGAAGACTGCATGGTCTTCAGGACTTCTCTTCACAGGCTTCTATGAGCACAGATGCTGCAGAGCCTGGGGTAGAAGGGGGTGAATTGGCTGAGTGCACTGTTGGGGACTTGGGTACCATCAAGGCTCTGTGAAGAGGAACCTTCCAGCCCAGGGCCTCCCTGAGCTGGTGGTCTCCCAGTGGCAATACAGCCTGTTCTCCAGCCTCTGCCAGGGGCTCTCTGTCAGCAGCCAGGCCAGGCTGGGCATCCCCACAATGTAGTTACATGACTTCTGTCCTCACACAGTCCTCTCTGCTGGTCAGTGGATCTGACTGCCACCCTGGCTTCTTCCAGGGTCTACATTCAGGAACTTGCCCATCTCTCCTACCACCCTGAAGCTCATCATGGATTTAAGGAGGAGAGATTCTGCCCACCTGGAAACACAAGTCCCAGGAGAGCATGTGGGTGAAGGGCCATCCAAGTAGAATAGGCAATTCCTTTCTAATCTGAGGCCAGCGACCACTCACTGAGAACTGTGGACAGGTCCGTGAAGGTCTGGTGCCACTTGTGATGTGTGTGCATCCCTCTCTTGTGTGCTGTGTGTCATGCAGCCTACATGTCAGATCTGGGTGGCCCCCCGGGACACAGAGAACTCTGCACACGGCTGCTACCTGCCACTCAGCTCGCCACACTGTCCTCAAGTCCCACCCAAGAACCCCAGCTGTTCTTTGTAGCCCTTCTGACCCAGGAATTTCAAAGTTCTCCTAACTTTGTCACTGTAGTTTCCTGCCACAATCTTCATGAGCCTGTGGTTTGAGCCAGGGAAAAAGCAGAGCTTCAGGGCTAGTAGATGAGTGCATTGGATCTGAAATAGGGTAGGTTAGGAGGGCAAAGAAACAGCGAAAGGCAAGCAACTACCATTTTAAAATAAGCATCTGCACCAGTGGTCTTGAGATACTCTGACTTCTGGGAATAGCAGGGTGTGAAGGAGAGAGTGACGTGGCATGGAGTCAGGCCAGGCTGCTCAAGCCCAGGCTAGACCCCTCTCAGCTGGAGCGAGCAGTCCCCACCCCCTCCTGAGGCCCCTTCCCAAGCCTCAGAGAGCAGGGGGATGCCAAGATGAGGGAGGAAGCTGCTTTCTCCTCCAACCCTGCAACTTCTGGGATAGGGCATCAGTGGGAGTATTGAGAAGGGGGTAAATATAAACAGGAGAAATGATGAAGAGGCTTAAAAATGTCAGCGTCAGAGTGCTTTCTTTTCCAGTCTAAGGACACAGGAGAGGACAGAGGAGGGCTGCCCAGGAACTGTTGTCTAAACAGGTCCTGGTATGGACAGAGACTGGGAGACTCAGATGTCCCTTGCCTTCTGTGGGTCACAAACACAATGTTCACAGCCACCAACCTGACTTTGAAAGGAAGAAGCGCCTTCCCCAGGAGTAGAGTGCAGAGAGGGAACTACAAAAGACAGGCACTGTCTTCGACTTCAGGCCCACTCGGACTGGGTGGGCCCCTGGGGCCGAGGCCAAGAGCAGCTTCTCAGGCTGCCACTCAGGCATGGATAGGACCTGCAGAGGGCTGCAGGGGCCGTGGAATAAGCAGTGTCGCCCAGCAATGGCATGATGCAAGTTGTGTTATCCCAGACAACCTCTGTGTGAAGCCAGTCTCAGAAGGAACAGGGAATGGGCTGAAATCCTGCCCTCAGAGAAATGGGAAGCAGACAGCCTACAAGCAAACAATCAGGAATCAAAGCCAGGAAGCCACTGGATGCCTCGGCGTGGGAAGAGCTAAAGCTGGAACTTCTCCAGTGGGTGCAGGTCGTTACCCATTGCCTACACATCCAGGGCTTACCCAGTAGGAGTATTTCCTTGCCTTCTAGCCAGATCTGAAGCTGCCTGAGTCAGAGCTAATCAGTGCCTGCAGGTTAGAGACCTCGGTGAGGCAGCTGGGCAGGGAGAGCAAGTCAGGGGACGTGGCCTTGCAGCTGAACAGGCGCCTCAGTCCATTACCATTCTGAAACATCCCCCAAGTACTGACTGGGCCACTGTCCAGTTCTCTAACTCAGCAGCAGCCTCCATGAGCCTGGGCCATATCATGCCTCTTAGCCAACTACAGAAGATGTGGAAGTTACAGAAGAGGCAGAGATCGAGGCCTTCCTGTTTGAAACCCCCTGGGGGCCAGTGCAGTGGTATCCTGGAGTTAGTGGGACAACAAGCCCGTTATGCACATAAACTGCTTTCCTCCACAGAAGTTCAAATACAAGAAGACTGCCTGTCATGTCCCAAGTGAATCCTTCATGCAGAACAATTGATCCTACTAAAATTGTAAAGCTCTTCAGATCATCTTCTGGGTGTCTTTGTATAAACATGGACTTACTAAATGTCTCATTTGATGAGGGCAGAGAGCACTGCCCATGAACCACTGTGGGTCTTCGTTACACTGCTCTGAGCCCAGCCCCCACCCTCACTTCTGCTAGACTGCGGGGAGTTGAACCAGGTTGTAAGGCGGGTATGGGAACAGCAGCCATTCCCACAGGCCTTGGCAGGTCCAAAATCCCAAAGCATAATTCCACTTGGTCAGACCCTGAATATTTGGGGAACTAACTTGCTGCCTTAGAATTCTGTGTCCTTCTTCCCTGGAAATGTTCCCTATAAGGGAGACGTTTCTGGGAACTCAGAGAAGGTAAGCTCTCTAGTTCTCCTCTCTCCATAGGTCTGACATCATCTGACAGGTGCTGACACCATTGCCCTGGAGCTCTGATTTCAGGCCAGGCAGGATGATTCCAGGCCAGGCAGGATGGACTTTAGCCACCACCATCCCCTGGATGCCACCCTGACTGCAGTCAGCCCACTTCCCGTCATGTCCCTCTGCTGCTTGCAGAACCTGGTGTGACCCTGACAGAGAAGAACAAACCCTTCTCTGTCTGAGAGACCCTCCCTGCCCTGATCTATACAACTGGGCACCCTCTTCCCTCAACCCTCCCAGCCTTCCCCCGACCCTCCCACCCTCTTCCCCGACCCTGCTCCCAGCCTTCCTCCACCAGGTGTCTCATGTGAGCGGAGAACCACAGACACTGAATTTGCCGAATGGAAGTAGCCTTTCCCAAAATGTTGACTATAGCCTCTGGATGTGCCCTGAGCACGGGTCTGCACATACAGCAGGTCAAAGCACTTCCCCTGGACCACGCGCTTGGATAAAAACACTGCAAAGCTGCGCTTGGATAAAAACACTGCAAAGCTCTTAGTAATAGAGAAGACAATTACTGCTCAAGGCCAAAGACAGTAATAGAAGGTAGGAGCTCACGTGCCAAGCATCTCCCCAACAAACCCGGGGGCCACATCCTGCACCCCCGCCCCCACCCAGGGCAAATCGGGAGCTTGGGCAGCCTGACCAAGGATTCTGTGCACCCTACAGCCGGCTGACAAGCTCCAGCCTCCATCCACCAGCAACGTTCTCCTGTGGCAGGATAATTGGGAAACACCTTTTTCTTTTTCCTAGAGAATTAATGAGCTGTGAAAGGAGATTAGGTGGGGAATTATTGCTGTTAGGAAGCAGCCACTTATTCTGCTCAGCTTGGTTTTCGCTAAATACATCTCCTTAAACTGCTGTCAAATCTCTTTGTCCCTGTGTAGGATTTGTCAGTCTTCTTTTTAATAAGAACACCAGTCCCCTGCTAAAAATTCATCCAATAAAGAGGATTTGACCTTAACGCTACTCTTTCTCTTAAACACATGATCGTTGGTTTTCCATTCAAGTTCATTGCTAGTTTAAGCAATCTTCTTATTTCGTTAGCCTAAAAATCCACAACTGGACTGTATGGTGGTGAGATTAGGCGCAGGTGAGGAGGAGGAAGCTGAGGGACAGGTCTGGGTATGGCCAGGACTGTCTCTGTGTCACAGAGCAGCCGAGAGACAAGATGTGCAGAGAGTGTGAGCAGGTTCTCATGTCTGTGGGTCCACTCCCTCCCCCCACATCATCGCCATGCATTCTTTGATGTTCAATTTCAGAATCTACTTTATTTAAGTAGAGTAATTTTTAAAATAGCCACTTTAGGGCATCCCTGGCCTGGCAATCTGCTGCATGGCATTAAGTAGCGAGATGATTACCACGTACTACTGACCAATAGTGAAGAGTCTGCAGGGCTGTGACATTTAAGGATTTTTCAAGGGAGGGACCAAGTTTCTGTTAAACATGTCACGGACAGTAGAGGACTTCAGATAGGCTTCTCTTCTGCTCTCATCCACCCAGTGGGAAGTGAACAATTGAGAATCACCAATAAAGTTAATTGAAGATCCCTTACTCAAATCCTTTTGAAAGGATAAGTCCTGGCCAGGGCTTTGTTTGAGAACAAGATACAACATATTAAGTTGTGAAAGGCAGTGTGGCCTTGATCTGTGGGGGGAATGTTAACTTGACATGTGAACCGGGTATGTCTTAGTCTCTCCTGGCTACCATAGCAAAGGTATCATAGAATGAATTTTTATTTCTTAGAGATCTGGAGGGTGGGATGTCCAAAGTCAAAACACAGGCAGATTTAGTGTCTAGAGAAGACCGTCTTTCAATCTGGATCTCTTCAATAAGGACATTCACTTCAATCATGAAGGCTCCACTCTCAAGCCTTTATCACCACTCAAAGCCCCCTCCTAATCTCATCACATTAGGGTTAGGATTTCAACATATGATGTTGGGGCTGGGGGTGACATAAGCATTCAGTCTATTGCAAGACCTCAGCAGATGTGTGCGTGTGACCTGGGCTATAGCAGGTGCAGGGACTCTAAATTCCATCAGCCAAAGAGCCTGGAATACAGAGAGGACTCACCTTCATGGTCATGGACTAACATAAAAACCACACACCAACACCAGGAAGTAAGCCTTGGCAACAGTCGGTTGCTTGCTGGTGGAAGTGCCTCTTGCCTGAAGACTGTATTACAAATACCGCTCTGTGTCAGGACGGAGATGTGGAGACTCCACTTAGGGCAGGTCATGGGTCTTCGAATGGCCATTTGCCAGTCAGACCTGGTTGGCAATACACATATCTAATAAAAAGCAAAAATCTGGGCCCTCCCTGGTGGCTCAGCGAGTTAAAGCGCTGCACTAAAAAGCTAAAGTCACTTCCGCATGAGTTTGATCCCCGCCTGCCCCGGAGGTGA